ATTATAATCCACAAATATATTTATTGCATATTCAGTTGTTAATCTCAATGCTCTTTCAATTCATCATTATTTAATTAATATGCATTTAACTTCTACATAATCTATATGAAGTTAAATACAAAACTGAACATAAACAATTTAGTATAGAGTTAAAAAAATTTATATTAACAAGATAAAAATATGTTGCATTTAATCGCTTCTACTAATATATTGCAAATATCTCTCGATGTCAATCGACCTATATAGTTGACTCCACCTAGCAGGATAAAGTTTGATTGCTATATTGAAAATGTCAATTTGCAAAACCAAACTGGATAAGAATACCTTCATTTTATAAAGCATTCATAACATATCTCATGCATCAATGACGTGATTTCTTACAATTTATATCATGCCAAACAACCAAGAGGGAAACTTTTTTATATACACCCTGGTGTATAAGCACATGGTTATACTTCTGTGCTTGCTTTTGCACTATCTTATACGCTAAACAGGAAAGTCACAATGCTTAAGTAATAAGTAGTGAAATTCAAAAAGGTGCTTTTATACCATCCACAATTCTCCTCTCTCTTTGTAACTTTTTTCTCTTTGATTCACTAAAATTCTTCTTCAGTGAAAAAAAAGAGTATATTTGTATACCCAATGCAGAATTGTGGAATATATCTTCACATTAAAATAAAACTTAAAAGAAGTTTTAGATTCAACAATATTTTACCGATGGTATACAGGTAGGGATAGCCAAGCTATCATCTTTCCCTTTATATAAGAATTCTAAGAAACTCTCTACATGCCTTTCTTCTAAGTCAGCATCCTCTGCCAAAAAGAGTTTTCAACTTGTAAGTTGTATTTGCTTGAAGAAAAAAGTGCAATCCAAAGCAATAACTTCACAGCATTAAGCTATTCTTTGAGAAGTTAAATTGAAAAGGTCAGCACTGGTCTTTACCGTTTGCACTTCTTTCTAACATTAGACAACCATCTTCACCCAAAGTCACAATCACAAAGTTGATATTTGGCAATCTTAAAAGCATGGAAACCAGTGCACTCGGGATAGATGGTGCTTGCGTCCAAGCCTGATACATAAAAGCAAAATAAATCCCAAATAAACTGCACAAAAAACATAAATAGAAGCATATGGACACATGATTTATATAATTGGAAGAGCATCCCACCTTATAGGCAATTCATGCTAATCAAGGCATGCAAAAACGAGTTTGAAAGTTAGTGTACAACTGTACATTCAATGCTTGTTTTCGAGGTGCTGACTGTCGAGAAGAGGAACATTTTGAAAACATCATGAAGTGTATTTTCAAACTCCATGGAGTTTGAATACAAAAATCTCCCTATTTTCAATGCTGAGAAGAGAAACAATTTCTAGTAATTCCTACCAACAATATTCTAATGAATTCGACTTTACGTAGTTCAAATTGATTCAAAATGCAATCAGGCCAAAATATAAGTTGATTACAGACAAGCTATAAGTTCCTCATATTGATATTACCTGTGGAAACCTTGCAGAGCATACAACAAAATCAGCTAGCTTCAGGAGTTCATCCAACCCTTCCCTTGGTGATTCTGCTTCAACTAAAATAGGAATATTATTGCGAGCTGCCTGTACTTGAAAATTCAACGATTAAGACTAGGTTTGTTTGTTTAAGCTTAAAAGGTGTAATTCAACAATTCAGCTTCTTTTAGAGTTTATTTTCAAAAGCTACTACATTTTTTTAGGTTATTGCTTCTATTTTTTGCCCCTAGAAAACTTGCATAATTATCAAAATCTTTTTAAACATATGCATTAGTTTAACAAGTGCTTTTTATTTATAAAAAAAAAAACACAAACAAAGGCCTGATGTTCCAAGCCAAAGTGTTGATAAAACCTCCTTCCAAAACTTCACCCCTTCCTTAGCACCCAGGACAGACCAGGTTCAGGCAGGCTGAGTGTATGAAGTATTCTGTACAACCCAACAATATTATAATTCCCATCCACCAAGTTGGGTAAAACTAAAAAAGTTCACTGACAAGACAAACCAAATCCCTAAAAGGGGAAGCTTTATGCCAAATTCCTTGTCATCTTGAACAAATTTGAAAGCGATGACTGACAATTAACATTAAAATATCATTTACCAGGAAGCATGACGTAAAAGTAGTCCTGCAATCATGAAAAAACTGTAAGAAAAAGCAAGATAATGATTACCTCTTGTGCAACAAATAGAGCAGTTTCAGGAAACATCCCATCGAAATAGACTAATCTTGCTCCATCAAATGCAGATAATAATGTTGACTGGGACAGGTCAGCCGGCATCAGCGGAGGTTCTCCAGGGGTATAGATACTTGTGCGAGTTTTCCTGGGAGAATTACTTATAATTAGTTGATTCAATTAAATTACAGAAATCCCAGGTAGATTACATCAAGTATATTGAAGCTCACATTTCTATTTTAATGCATAAGCATAATCACACCTAATTCTACAACAAAAAAAAATTGAATAAAAGAAGTTCAGTGAGTAAAAATATACTTCCAGGATTATGGCTGCAGTTCGATACCAGTAGGGTCACTAGTAATAGCCGTGATGTGATAAAAGAATTGAAATGCATTACACACAGGGATGGGAAGGTAGTGAAAAATTCTCAAACAGCACTTGCAAGAGTTATTTAAAACAACAAAGTCTGTCTCAAATATTAACAAACCAAATACACCTTTATGCATAATCTCATATTCAGAACGCGCTGGAATACACTTGAGCTCAGGCATAAGATGATATTCTGAAATTTTTTTCCTATGCCATTTTAAGCATTGAATCAGAAGGTTTCTTCACACTGTTAAAGAATCTCAAACTAATTTTAACCATGATACAAGCAACTCTTACGTTTGGTTGTCAACTATTACATACGAAAACGTTGAACTACCGCCCTTGGATACCTGAAAAACAAAAAAATCAATTCAGAACATGAGAACTCAACATGAAGAAATAGCAAACAGTTAAGCAGCACAATTCTTTATCAACAAGATAATATACTAATGTTAAACTATAAATTTAGTTTCTATAAACTGAATTTCGATCTTACGACGATAAAGGATGTATCGACGCCATCGGCTTCTAACTCCTTCAATATGGCGAATCCGTGCGCGTCATCCCCAACCTTGGAGATGAGCTTCGGCTTCAAGCCGAGCCGAGCCGAGCCGCGCAGGTAACCGCATTGCCGCCTCCTTCAACCTTCAGCGAACTGCTTCGGACCTTGTCGTCGGGTTGAGGATATCCGTCCACGGTGGCCAGAAAATCTACCGTTGTCATTCCGTATCCAACCTGCGCGCATTACCAAATCAGAATAACTAACCTAGAGAGAGAGAGAAAAGCAACGCACGAAGAAGCGGTTTTCGGGAAGAGGAGGAAGCGCGTGGGAGCACATTTTGATTTTGGCGGCGAAACGGAAATGGACGCGGCGAGGTTGGTTGAGGTTGAGATTGAGATTGAGGAGGCTGCCGTAGTTGGCTGCGGCGAACGGCTTCGACATGCACGCCATCGCGACGGTTCCGTTCGAGTTCGGTTTGGTGACTCACTGATCCAAGCTGAGACGAGTTCTGTTTGTTTGACTTCACACCATGAACGTGTACCGTGCCTTATCGCATTTATGGTCTTCACTGGTCTCAACTTATGCAGTATCAATAAAGTCGTTGTAGTATAGTGGTGAGTATTCCCGCCTGTCACGCGGGTGACCCGGGTTCGATCCCCGGCAACGGCGATTTTGCTTTAACCTTTTCCGTGCATTATCCTATCATTTGTTTTAAATTTACCTTAAGTGCAGAAGTATCAACAAAGTCGTTGTAGTATAGTGGTAAGTATTCCCGCCTGTCACGCGGGTGACCCGGGTTCGATCCCCGGCAACGGCGATTTTCCTGTTTTTCTAGTTTTTCAATTTTCTTCTATCACTAAATAGAATAGAAGTTTTTTTTTTAAAGCTCAGTCATTCCTCCTTTCATTTATCTCAAAATTCTTTATTAATTTATAATATATAGTTTTTTTTTCCAATCTAGAATCATTGAGAAGGTTTTTTTTTTTTTTTTTCTTTCATTTTTTTTAATTAACTTATTTCATAAAATTCGGTCATTCCTTCTTCCATACATCTAAAAACATAGTTTTAAAAACCGGACTGGTCATCGAACCGGTTAAGGTACTGGGTCAGTGGGTCAAAGGTTGAACCGTTGGGTCACTATGCATGACTCGATTTTTATTAAAAAATATTTATATTAAATATATTTTATACTTATAAATTTTAATAAATTCATATCTTATTTTAAATTTCAATTTTTCTATCTTATTTAAAATTATTTTTATTTTTATTTTGTAAAAAATACATAAAAAAAATTATTTTTATTTTTATTTTGTAAAAAAATACATAAAAAAATTACATGTTAAACGGTATATTAATACAAATTAAAAATATAAATAATATGTACATATATAATATGCTTGCAATTAATATCACAAAATAATATATGTAATATTTACATAGATATTGCATTATTAAATATATAATTTAAAATTAATAATATACTATAAAAGTTATTTAAGTTGTATATATTGCAAACAAATATATTAGAACAAGTAGTCATTGTTATATTTAATAAGAATCCTTGCTTTTCATTAAGAGATTCAACTTTCATTATTATTTTTGTGATTTATGGTCCCTTAAAAAGATTTAAAAAAAAATAAGAAAAAAAAGTGGTTGAACCGGTTTGACCCACCGGTTCACCGGTTGAACCGGAAAATTGACCGGTTCAATCCGGTTTGAAACGAGTCGACTGCATAACCGATCCAACTTCAGATTCGAACCGGCTGGACCACCGGTTTCCGGTCCAACCGGTCCGACCGGCCGGGTCGGTCCGGGTTTTAAAACACTGTCTAAAAGTTCTCTCTCTCTCTCTCTTCTTTTTTTTTTTAATCAAGTATCATTGAACAATTTATTTTTTTTATTATCGAGTTAACTTATTTCTTAAAACTCAGCCATTCCTTTTTTTTTTTTTTCCATATATTTTAAAAAAATGTTTAATGTAACATATAGTTCTTGGCACTTGTTTAGTATACACCACCAGTGAGGCAAGTGTATGATAATGAAGGAATTGGTGGAACAAAGACGTAGAAGAATTGTCTAATATTACATAACTTCCTCTAACCAAAAAATCTAATTCTAAACCATAAAAATATATGCCTCCTCAATTCAATGGTAAAGAATGCATGAAGGATGCCAGGCATGGATCTGTGCTGTAAGGGAGACCACTTCTTGCTCCTAGAGCTCTGCACTTGGAAGCTGCCTGCAATTAATTACCATAAAAATGTATAAGCCTCTTGCACCAAAATTAACTCATTCTCCTAAATAGTCCTTAAAGTAATGATATTGTATAAATGGTCCCTAAAGTATTGAAAATCCATCAATTTAGTCGTATGTTAATAAAATTTACTAACGTAGAGGAATTAATTTGAAGGATTTTTCTATACTTATGACTATGTAGCATGATTTCTAATGCTTTAGGAACTACTGATATAATTTTGTTACTTTAAGAACTACCTAGAGATTAGTTAATACTTAAAGACCAAATTCACAATTTACTCATTATTTATTACTTGAGTGCAACACTACTTACCACAGTTGCAGCAAAACACAGCATTTTCTCTCTCGCGAAGTTGGCACAGATAGCTGAAAGCAATCAAAGAAAGCATATATTTCACTACTTTAACATGCTGCTTGTAAAAGTAAAACCACTTTGAAAACCCAAATAATTAAATGTTGGGGAGGAGGTGATGGAGAATTTGAAGAACACCAATTGTTAAGAAAAATAAAAAATAAAACCCAAATGCAACCACAATGACTGGCATAGTATTGAGTATCTATCATAAAACAGAACAACTAATTGTATTTTTAATATAGAAAATGGGAACTAGTTAGTCTACACCACCATGTTCATAGATATGCTTGACCAAAGGTGAACAATCCATCTATTGCTAAACCAACCCTTTAGAGCCAGAAAACCTTAATGATGTCTAAGTTAATATAAAAAAGTAGATGAAATAGCAAGAAAGGCAACTATAAAGTTTGTGTGTTCCTTTGAAGGCCAAAAGGAAAAAAATATAGAACAAATGTGGTAAATTACCATAGAGAATAGCTCCAATAAATGCATCTCCAGCACCTGTGGTATCAATAAGCTCTGATGGTGGTATGTTCTCAGCTGTTCCAATGTATAACCTGCCACAAACTGTTCCTATACCTTCTGCATGCAATTTTGTCACTGACTGGAAGTAAAGAGAAAAGAAGGATATAAATAAATAAATAAAAAAGCAAATAAGCATATAATGTTTGAGTCACATTCCCTTACATAATTTCAAAGATGCAAGTGATCCACAATATCAAAACTAATACCTAGAAAAAAGTTTTGTTGTATGACATACACTAATTCATCAGTTTAGGTAATTGACCAATTTGCTTAGAAAAATAATTTATATAATTAAGATAAACAGTTGTAATTGTAACTGATTGGAATCTTAAAACAAAGACCATAACAGAAAACTGGATTTCACTTCACTAATACCACAACAGAGAAAAAGTGTTTAGCGTTTCAATGTAATTACTGAAGATATGCAGGTTGGGATGTGTATGCTCCTGTTTTTTCTCATCTCCAGAGATTCCAGTAATTTGTCAACATCCATTTCTTCGGTGGAAACTCCCTCTGCCAGAAAAACCGTAAATGAGTGAGAACCTGTTTAGAGCGCATATTAGTCTTTAATTATCAGTTTTAGAATATTGCATGAAGTATATTTATAGACTAAAAGTAAAATAAACCAAATAGAACTGAATATGTAATGTAAACATTTATTCTGTTCAATGCTAGCATAAGATCACCTTCTTCAAGTTCAAGATAACCTTTTAATCCCCCATCTCCAACAAAACAAATAAAAATAGGAAGAAATGGGAATGTGTACCATTAGCACTTCTCTCGAGCATTATGCAACCATCTTTTCCCAAAGTTACAATCACAAATTTGATGTTGGGCAACCTTAAAAGCATACAAACAAGTGCTTTAGGAACTGTTGATGCCCCTGTCCATGCCTGTCAGCAGAGATAGGAACATACATCACATGCGTACAGTGATGCTTAAATCAAAAAATTCAATCACACCCCAGAGAATTGAAACAGGGTTTCAGTAAAAGAAAATAACAAACATTTATCTAAAATTATAAGATTTAAAGAAAACAGAAAAGGGATATCTATGGAACCACACCCCAGAGAATTGAAACAGGGTTTCGGTAAAAGAAAAGAACAAATATTTATCTAAAACTATAAGATTTAAAGCAAGCAAAGGGATATCTATGCATCCTTGGCATCAGAAAAGTGATATCCTTTCTTCTTCACAAAAAGAAAAATACAATTAAAGAAAACATAGTTCATGCATGGACATATCTACAAGTATTCACATTTCAATTTCAGAAGTCCACTTAAATGAGAGAGAGAGAGTGAAAATTGTTTTTTCTGATGCTTAGACTGAGTTAATATTTTACTCAGCTAAAAACACATTTACTGATAGACAGTTATGATTGAAAAGCAGTCTACTAAAGTTCATTTCTGAACATCAAAAGCAAGGTTCATTGGAGACCTCTATATTACACATTCTTACAATGTTTCACTTCCAGAGAAAACAAAGCACATGCCTGTGGAAACCGTGAGGCACACACGACATAATCAGCTAATTTCACGAGATCATCCAACCCTTCTCTCAACCTCTCTGCATCCATTAGGATAGGTATGTTCTTCTTAACTGCCTGCACTGGAAAATATGAGATTTTGTTTACTTTCCATCAGATGATGCTATCTTCTCTCATTCTCAACCAACTTTACCAGAAGAAGAATATAAACTAAAATACACCAAGTGGATTAAGGGTACAATACAATTAAAAGACAAAACACGAAAACAGGGAAGCTCCGGATAAACAACAAAAGGTAAAATCAATTTAAGTTAACCGATTAATCGACTTTCAAGTATCTATTATGCCTTGCAGATTACAATTTTTGCAATGTTATCACCCTTATAAATTTCTCCACCGAATAAGCTATAGTTATCTCTTCAATCAATGGTGTGATAAGTTAGGACCATTTTAATAGAATATTGTTAGAAGTGGTCAAAGTTGTTTTTTAACTAAATACAATATAGAAAGATTTACATGCTTCAGCTACTTTTTTCTTTTCTTTTGGAGGGAAAGGGGGTGGAACTAGAAACTTCAACAGAAAACATGCATTCCAATGCAAAAAAAAAACAAGTAAAAACTTGTGAATGTAATGTTTTTCAACTCTAATTAAGTTGAACTCAACCGGTTCCCAAAGACACCTTAAATATGATGATGTGCAGGCTCTTAGAGTTCACTTCACAACATCAAACAAATAATAAAAGCAATAACCTCTTGTGCAACAACTAGAGCAGTTTCATGCAATCTCCCATCAAAATAAACAAGTCTTGATCCATTCAATGCAGTTAGCAAACTTGACTCCGGAAGATCATCTGGCTTCATGGGAGGAAATCCTGGCGTATGTATACAAGTACGGGACTTACTGAAAAATTAAAATAAAAATTAGTTAAGTTACAAATATAATTTCCAACAGCCTTATTAACAGCAAATGCTTCAAGATCTTACTATTATGAATCATTATATTCTATTCTTACTAACGATGCTTTATTTTTCCTTCTCATGCATGCACTGACTACTGGGTGAAACAACAGTCTCAGGTATCTAAAATTGATAAGCAGAAAATATGGACATCATTACAATTTCTTTTCGGAGGGAGGAGTTCTACAAATAAAAGGAACAATAAGTCAATGATCATTACGTTTGGCTGTCCACAATGATATACGTAAATGGTGAAGTACCATCCTGAGAGACCTGCAAATAATATCAAGCACTTTACATAAATATAATAATAACAACAGCAATAACACTATTATATGAATGGAAATTGAATAAAAAGCAAGCACAATAAGCAAAGGACAAACTTCGACCTTGGAATTATACATTGCCATATACTAAGGTTTTAACTTTTAACTGCAAACTTCAATCATACAACAACGTGTTAATAATTTCAAGATCACACAGACATAGTAGTCAATTCCAGACAGTAGCACAGTGTGGTAATCTCCAAAAAAAGGTTATATTTGTGTAGCCAGCTTTTCCACACATTCATGAAAATGGGACGGCTCATATCTTGAATGCATGTTTCAAATCCGGTTTACAAGCTAAATAATGAGCCATCTGATCTTTAACTAACGATTATCAGATGCTGACTGCATGGATGCTTGAGAAAACCGACAAGAAGGAATCTGGATCCAATCAGAGAGTAGCTGCTATAGCAAAGATAGCAAATGTAATGAAAATAATTTCAAACAGAGATATGCTAGTAATAAACTATTTTCAGTACGTTCTTTTTGTTGAGTGAACAGATGCTCAGAACCCAAAAAGTAGTCAAAGGTCAAGACATGTTCAACGAAACAACATCTATACTCAAAAAGTCATGACATATTGATAGACTCTACTTGTATTGAAAGAGAAAATTGAAGGAATACTGAAGCCCAACTGTTTAGCAATTGAAGTTATCAATTTCCATTGACAAACTAAATTCAGTGTTTGAAATGCTTTGTACTTTGGGTCTTTTTCCTTCCACGATTCACAACCGTGAACTATAATCATTGACAGTTTGTGTTTAACAGTCTGGAACCAGAACGGCCCGTTCTGGTTGCACTTTTAGTGTGTTAATTTTGCACCTGGAACGGACCGTTTTGGATGCAAAATTAACACACCAAGAGTGAACCCAGAACGACCCGTTCTAGGCTGTTATGGTTCCAGGTGTTTTCAAAAAAATTGGCATCCATGTGGCATCCACCTATGCATCTACGTGGCATCCACGTGCATGCCACGTGCCTAATAGTTAATTCTATTTAAATAATTTAGACGAAATTCCTACATTGCAACTAATTAAATTATTAGGAACCAAATTGAGACAAAAAATAAAAGTGAGACTAAATTGAAACAAATAATTATTATAAGGGACCAAAATAAGTTTTTAGCCTTTTTAAAACTATTGTCATATTTACTTTTTTTATTATTATTAACATAATTGTAATTTTAAAATACACGTTTATATAAGAAGTATTTTATTAAATTCAATTATTTTTTATTTTTTTTATTTATTTTAAGTGAGCCAACATGTTTAACTTATCAGTTTATGATGGACAAAATTGGGTTCAATTTTTATAAGCTCACCCACAAATTAATGAGTCAAATTAGTTGGCTCACTTTTGACAGTTCTAATTATCCATTGTAAGTGTTAACTAACATTTTTCATATTCATAAAGTATTTTTAACAAATAGTTTTCTTTTTGAGAATGATGCCAAGATTATGTTTTTCTCCATACAAAAGGAGAAATAGAATGGAAAAGAGGGTGAAAGAAGTAAGGGTGATAAAACAGATTGTACGGGTGCTAAAGTGGATTAACTCGCTAAAAGAGAGATGGATTGATCCACCAAAGAAATAGGGCAAGATAGGTTGATCCACTAAAGAAAATGAGTTGAAAAATATAATTCGTTCTACTTGGCATAAAGTTATCAAAATAGGTTGGCCTAACCCGCTTTCTTAAACATTCAAACTTTTCCAACTTGACATGACCTATGGTGGACTAAACGGGTTGGTTTATTCACCCACCTAAATTTTAAAAAATAAAACTCTAATTTGATATAAACTTTAATCTAAAATAACCTCCAATCTAAAATAAAAAATTGTCAAATTAAATATTATGCATATAAAAATTAAATTTAATTAAAAAAAATATACAACTTTAAATAATTAAAATAAAAAAATAAAAATAAAAAATTGTCATTGACTTCACTTCGTTAAAAGTTAAAATTTAATATCCTTTTAGCTTTGAGCCAAAAGCGCAAAACCATGCCGTAAAAGGTTAATCTTCAGTTCTTCACTGCCCTTGTAAATAGCATTTTGGCCTTATCAAAAGATAACATTCATGTTTCTTTAATCAATTACCAGATTTGCCCTTATCTGGTTAATTGAGATGTAAAAAATAAGAAAAATAAAATTTTGATTGAAAAAAATTAAATTATATTTTTAATCTCTTTAATTTTTATTAATTTATAATTTTAATCAATTTATTTTAAAATAAAAATATATGATTATTATATTTTTAAAAATATAAATTA